GAATACTCATCGATTTTCACTTTACCTTAAGCAACTTGACACATTTTCATAGCTCATCCTGTTATGTCTGCTTTGACTTTATTTTATCCTTCATCATACCTAAATAACAAAGAAAAATTATCAGAATTTGTTTTATTATTATTGAAAAAAAATATCCAATTTTTGTTTACAAGAATATCGATGAGGATTTACAAAGTGTGAGAATAAGAAAAGAAAGAACTGTTTTTTGGTTAATTTATTTATTTACCACTTTTTATACGTAACAATTTCTTCCTTTTTAGAGAACTCTTTGCATTCAGGATGAGCTATGAAAATATGTCAAGTTGCTTAGGAAAATCGATGAGTATTTATGTTTGCTTTGATTTTTTTTATCCTTCATCATACCTAAATAACAAATAAACATTTTCCAAATTTGTTTTCTTCTTAATGAAAAAAATGCTCCAATTTTTGCTTACAGGATGAGCTATACAAATGTGTCAAGTTGCAATAAGATAAAGTGAAAATCGATGAGGATTTACAAAGTGAAAGAATAAGAAAAAAAAAACTGTTTTCTGGTTAATTCATTTATTATCCTTTATACTTAACAATTTATTCCTTATCAGAGAACCAAAAAGAAATTTTGATGTTCCAATTATTTTTCTTATTAGTGAAAAACAAAATCTCCAATTTATAAACTCATTTCATTAAAATAAAACTCTTTGCTTTCAGGATGATCTATGAAAATGTGTCAAGTTGCAATAAGATAAAGTGAAAATCGATGAGGATTTACATTTTCAAGTTGTGAGAATAAAAAAAGAAAGAAACATTTTCTGGTTATTTATTATTTTATTCATTTTCAGAGAACTAAAAAAGAAACTTTGTTGTCCCAATTATTTTTCTTATTAGTGAAAATAAAATCCTCCAATTTATAAACTCATTTAATTGAGATAAAACTCTTTGCTTTCAGCTATGAAAATGTGTCAAGTCGGTTAGGACAAAGTGAAAATCGATGAAAATTTACATCTACTGTGTAATGAGAGAGAAAAAGAAAAGATTGTTTATTTATTTCTTTATTGTAATTCATACAAAAACAACTACTTCTTCCTTTCTAAATAACTAAAGAGAAACGTTAAGTTACCAAATTTGAGCATAGCAGATTCTTTCAGAATTTTACAATAGAGATGTACAATAAATTGAAAAATCTATGAAGATTCGTATCTGCTTTGCAAAGAAAGTGTTGAAAGAAGGAAAAAAAACTTAATTTACTACTCTTCATATCCAAACAACAACTTTTTTCCTGTTCCAAAAGAACCGAAAAGAATCGTTGACGTCCCAAATTGAATTTATGATGTTTCTTCTACTCCCATATAATTTTTTTGTTCTATAAACTACAAATATCTTTCTGACTGAACGACGACAGTAAATATGTTGTTCCATCTATGAAGATTCGTATCGGCTTCGCAAGAAGTATTTAAAAAATAAAATATCTTTACTTCTAGCTAATTTATTTATTATTCTTCATTTACAAAGTGAGCGCGCTTTGAATCGTAATGCATCCTTTTGTTAGGTTTGAAATATAAGATTTACCATTCGGAATATTAAGTTTTCTTTCCCCATGTTTTCCATGTTATTTTTCATTGAAAAATTTACATTAACCGTCGTCACCGCTCGCGAAACAAACAACATTATCAACTTACACCGCTTTTATTAATGGACAAAACAATGGGAAATTGCGAGGTGCGAAACTGTACCGTTTTATCGCAATTGCACAATTTACGATCATTGAGGAAAACAAAAAAAAAATGATGAATTGGATTCGTTTCACCTTGAATGAAGCTTGAAATTAGATTTTACTGTAAATTTAGCAAATTTTTATACATTATGAATTTCTTGTTACAATCTATGAATGATTATTTACAACAATGACTGGTTAACAAGAATCATATGATTCTATTTTGATTTGTGCGTTAATCTAGTTTTGATTCATTTAATGCTTCGATTAAGTAGGTTGAAATTGATTTGGATAATCTCATACGTCGACTTATCGTAAGATTAATCACGGATTTATACGAAGATAATATTTCACAGTTTAGTTTGCGACACACTCATAACAATGTGCTTCTTTTTTTCTGCGGCCGAAAAGAGAGAGAGAGTGAGAGAAAAGTGGGTTAACAGCGAGATTAATTTTAACCTAACGTAAACTAATCCGCTCTAATTCTGTCCCTGAGGCTCCAGGAAACGGAACAACATGAATACGCAACAAACATGGAACGCTCAAAAACGATGTTTCTCAGTATAATATCATTACATTTATTCCATTAACAATATTAAGAATAAACAGAAAGACGAACTTTACTACTTCTTAATGAAGCGAAGCGTCCTGTAGAACGAGTCAAGGGTTTGCCTGTCCAGATACTTCTTTAAATAAAACTCGAAGCTGCTCTCTTTCGTTAGAATTTTGTACAGACGTTCCGCATACTTCCTGCAATTCGATGTGGTCAAAGCAGTTTGCTAAGAGAGACTCGTATAATGGTACCTTGTATCGTGATTCTTATCGTCTAAGAAGTGTGCTAAATTAATGATGACCCTTTTTCTGGAATGCTCGTAGCTGGGATTGTTCAGCAGGATGGAGGGACCGGCTATGACCACGGCGCAGATCAGCAGCCTGATGGAAGCGCACCTGACGAGGTAGTTTCTGTGTGAAGGACCTTTAGCGCAAAGGGCTCTGATTGCGTGGAACGTCGGTATGTGCGTGACCATGCAGTCGAGGGCGAGATTCGCGTCCTGCCTGATGAACTTGCTGGCATCAGCCGTTTTGTAGAGCAGCACGTTCACGATGTCGTCAAATTCCTGCAAAATTTCAATGATTTCATGTTTTCGATTGGGTTTTTTTTTAAAGAGGGAAATACGGGTCGGCGTGTATCCTTCATGGTTTCGAAAAAGTGTCCGGCGATTTGGCAAGCCGTTCTACAAACGTGCGACCTGGGACTCTTCAGTAATTCTAACATACGCTGATTGACGACGGTCATGAAGGGCATGAACATGTCCGGATCGCCGTTCCGGGCCAAATCTATGATTTCCGCTAAACCCTTCAGAGCGAAGTTCCTGAAATTGAGATAATTTTGTTTCACGTTTACAAATGCGAGGATTTGAGACTCTACCAATCCGGTGATTTGATGTGACTCAGTATTATGAATAGACCGTTGTCCGAGGATGCTGTTGATCCGAGCACGGTTGTTGTACTTGAATTTAGATGCAATTTCGGGCAGAACATCTCCGGCTCCGTTTGGTTGTTGGTCCTGGCGATCTCCTCGCTTTTGACCATCTTTATGTTCGTCTTGCTCTGGTCAATATAAGGAATCCGATCAGTGCCTCGCCGGGGCTCAGAAACTGGACTTACCGAGCGGCCCTTGCACGTCATGCTAACCAAATTCTTAACCCCGTCCACCTCCTGCCGAAGGCTTTTCTGGGCGCTCGCCAACGTCGGACTCATGAAGGAATTGCTGCGTCTGTTGAATTCGCAATCTCCGATCTTCGGGCTGACATTGCTGTAGTCGAACTGTTGTTTCCTGTATTGCTTGCGCCTAGTCGGTGGCGAGGGATAGTCTTCCGTTTTCCTCGGTTCTATGCAGGAGTTGCTCTTGAACGGATTGCTATTTGGCGTATTTGGTGATCGTTTCTGCTGCAGATAGAATGGACTTCTGTTGCGTTTCGGCTTTTGCCTCATCTGCTTCTGAGTCAAGTACTGATCGATGAGACTGCTCTGCTGCTTCTCCACTAGATTAACCACCACGGGATTGTCCATTTCGGCGGGAGTTTTCCGAACAACCTGAGCATTCCAAACCTCGTACTTCTTCTGCTGAGGAGTGCTCGTAGTCGTGTCAGACTCTTTATAACTATCCTCGCAAACCGTGCTATAATCAGTGACATCTCTGTAGTTGGGTGCGCTCTGTGGATAGTAACCATCCCGATCATCCTTAACCTGTCCATCCGTCTGATACATGAACTCTTCCACGTCGTTGTTCCTCTCGGGCTCTCTTTTGGACACCGGTTTGACCTTATTATCGTCGTTCTCGGTGATATCTCCGGCGACGTTATCCGAGGTGTACTCATCTTTGATCCTGTTCAGAGCGTTCTCGCTACTTATCGTTGCCCTTTTCAATTTATTGTTCAGCAAATCCACGGCGAAACGACCGTTCTCCAACTCCAATTTCGGCCTGGGCGTGTTGTTCAAGCTGTCCGGACTGATCAGGCCCGTCTCCAATTTGGCCAGTTCTATTATCGTCTTGCTGGTCTGCGTGAAGGACTCTTTGATCGGACTCGAACTGGATGACAGGAAACGCGAGTCTATCGATGTTCGCTTCACATAAACCGGCGCAAAGAAGTGCTTATTAGTGTTGAACGCATTGTGTGCTTGCTTCCTCTCCTGAAACACAGAAACAGGTTACATAACAATCCCCATTCGGGTCGACTTGCCATCGAGACTCGCTCGCACCATATGTGTTAGGCTAAATCCATTAAAAAAAACTGTGCGAAGAGTGAATAATTTTGATCAATCTCAAAATGAAATGGGGATACACGCGTACTGGATTTTCAACATGGACATGACAAACGTTAAACATACATTTTTATGACAGATTTCCGTTCCCATGGCATATCATCAAACTTCAAATTTATCATTTTACAATTATTACATTGAACCAAAAAAAATACTTTCCATTATCATTCAATACCTATAACATTTAAGTCTTTAATTGAAACCAATTAAGACTTTTATTGAACCAATGTAAATCATTAATTATATAACAACAAACATGTTGTATATTGAAACTCATTCCACAATATGCATATTTCGTAATAAGATAAAACATATCAAAAAATTGAATGCGTCTTATCCACCAAAGTTTGAAAATGCCCAACAAAAAACTAATCAGATGCAATTTACTTGCAACGGTCGTTNAGTATTTTAATTATGTTCGTAGAAATCAATTTCTGGTACATGCTGCAGTTACTACAGATTTTATATAATCCAAATTTCAATTCAACTTTCGCTAATTTAATTGAATTACTCGAACATTTTTTATTTATTTCCTGTAAAAGTAGTTTAAGCAGAAATAAATAAATTGTAATGTCTATTAGTATTATTGGTTGCCTACAATAGTAAATTAGATAACTACAAAAATAGGATGAAAAACTACAAAAATAAGTGAAGTGAAAATATTATAACAAAAAATAAATAAGTATTTATTGTTAAAAAAAATTAAATGTACAATTTGATCAGTTCGTCGCTGACACCGGAAGGAGTCAGGATACCTATATCGGTGATCAGAAGCGTTATGTAATTGGGAGGAGTGTAGTCGACTAGCGGATCTTCCTTATCCAATATCATGTTTTTCCTTACACTGGATGTATACTGAAAACAAGAAAGAAATTAGTCTTGCGCATAGAAATTAATAATTGCAAACTGACTTTGTAATCGAGTGGTAAATCGGATTGACCTAACGGGAAGAGACGCGAAAATTTGAAACTCTCCGCCATCACGTAGAAAGGCTTCTTCATTTCCTTGGCGCACATCGCAATTGTGAATGTACCAATCTAGAATGTTAGAAATTATAATTGGAATTTAGTGTTATTATAATATCAGTTATTTACTTTATTAACGATTCCGCCACTCTCGGCGACACCTTCAGCGCCGACCATCACGAAATCTATCGTTTCCATTATGTAACCGATGGCGGAATCGAGGATCAACGTGCTCGGAATCCCTGCTTTATCCAGTTCCTTCTTCATTAATTCGCTGAAAGTGGAATTATATTTAAATGCAAATTATGGGGTTTTTCCTTAGCTTACCCGCTATTGTCTGGAGCTGAATGGGTTACAAACACCTCGAACTTCTTGTCCTGACCCATCGCTTCTTTAAGAGCGTACAAAACACCCCTGGATCTCGAATGGGTCAAAATCCTCTAAAAAATAAAGTTTTTCAATATAGAATTTTTTAAAGTTAACGTTAAACTAACGGATCCATCCAAAATAAATTTAGAAGCTGATTTAGCAATTTTCCCTCGACCATCCAACAACTTCTTCAGGAACATCTGACCCCTATCAATCATGATTCTCTTGCACTCACTAAATGCCTGTTAAAAGTACATTGAATTACTACATTAGATTTATATATTAATTATTGCAACTTAACCACTCCATCCAAACTAGCTAAAGAGATGAACCTCAATAGAAGTTCAGAGCTTGAACTTATTGAAGCTGCTGGATAATCCATATCTCTCATGTAATCTGTAGCAATTGTCATTGTTTTCCTCAACTCTTGCAAGGTGGTGACTAAAATTAAACTTTAAGCAGATTGTTGAGTAATTTAAAAACTTTAGTTTTTACCATCAGAAACTTTAACCATCTGCATAAGCGTTTTGATCGCGGCGATTCCTGGTGAAACATCTTCGGTTTTGATGATTTTGCTGAAGGTGGCCCTGATTTCTGCAAATCAATTGTTAAGCAATATTGCGAATTGTTGCCTCATTCGAAGTCGATTAAAAGTATATTTCTATTACCTGCTTCATCCATTTTGCTTAACTGTTACTTGGGTTTCTTTAGTATATAAAGAAAAGTTCGTTCAAACTTTATAGGGTCAACAAATAAAATATAACCCTTAAAATAGCAACAACATAACCTATAACTTTTGACAGTTTACAAGAGCTGTGGAAGTATTTACAGGTGCAATTGGCGCCGTTGCCGATGAATTAAAAAAAAATGTTACAAACATTCATTTTTAATGATAGAAACAAATGGTATTAGGTATAGGTTGGTTGTTTCAAAAACTTTATTTTGTTTATGGACAGGGGGAAGGTTTTTTATGGATTTGTGGTGGTTTTTTATGGTAATGTGCGTATGTAGTTTTGAAGTTATGCAACAGGGCGCTCCTTTTGAACGCATGCGTCTCCTTAGATGTCGCAGCGGTAGTCAATAGTTAGTGGGCGCCGGGCCAATGGGGGTGCGAGTTGAGTGTCACGTGGGACAGTGAGCCTACGATTTTGTCATTCGTGTGGTCGTTGGTGTGGTTTGCTCTGTCATCCAAAAAACAATTCTGGTGCATTTAAATCGGATTACCGTCGTGATCGCGGTAAGTTGCATAACGAATTTTCTGTCCGTTTGTTTGTTTGTTTTTCTCTGTTGTCGTCCTCACGTCGGTTAGTTAGTTGCGCCCCCCGTGCCAAGAAAATGCCCAAAGCGCCCCCCCTTCCCCTTCCGGAGAGACACCATCGACTGGGTTAACCAACAGTTATGTCGCCATTTTCCCGTGGTCTTTCGCCCCCCTACTTGATAGAACTGCACTGAACAACAGAACAAGACGCTGAAAGAATTGAAAGGAAGGATGCAATTAGATCCAAATACATTTGATGTTTTGTCCCTCTTTGATTCCAATTTGATCCTACTTTTTTTTTATATTGTTTCGCTCTGCGCGTTCTGTCAGTCCGTTTGATATCAAGTATCAGTATCACCTCCTTTCGCAGGTGTCCCGAGCTTGAGGAAACTTTCATCCAACGACTAGCTTTTGTTTTGCTCCGACACTCCTTCGGCCAATAAATATTGCGCAATATTTATAGTACATGCTAATAATAATATGACATTACGCACGTGATCCTCTCCATCGAAAAAAACAAAAAACAGCTGCAACCACGTATACTTCTGTACATCAAGATGGAGAGCGTCCTCGCAAGGGTTTTGCCAAAAAAAAAGAAAGAAACAAAAACGACTGCGTGTTCGTTCTTTCTCTCTGGTAGTAATTACGTTTGGGAGAGGAGACGGCCACGGTCCTTTTCCGTGGAGCAATAATAATCGGTTCGGCATCCCTGGAAATGAATTAAGCTCGGCGGAATCTGGACAGGCTGTGATTAAAATAAATTGCCGTCTGCCGCAGCGCCTCCAAGTGCAACGGGCTGAAGAGGTAGAGAGTATGATGATGATGATGAGGAGGAGGACGAGAAGGTGGAGGAAAGCATTTCGCCGTTGGGCAATTAATCCGATGGTAATTACGATCCTCCTCGCCTCTTTGGCCGCGAGAGATGTAGGAGACCCCTTAATGACCAGTTGTGCTCATGCACTTTCGTCCTAACGGAACATCATCGCCGTTCCAAATCCTAGACCAAATTGCAGATTCTAATTGGCTGATTTCCAATAATTTGCAGAAACTGTTGATGCATCCAAATGTATTTTTATGAAAATCATTAAAACTATGTTCTAGATAAAGATCCATGAAGATGCATTGAAGGACCTATACTTTTCTTCTCCTTTTTTTCTCTCTTATTGCATGATTGAGCGGAATATGTACTTAAGATAAACTGCTGATGCAAAACCGGACCTACATACATTCAATCCTTTTGATAACCCTGAAGACATTGCACATGGAAAACAAAAATATATATAAAAAAAATATGCCTATGAATGGAAAATTAACATGTATTTGTAATTAATAAATTATTTTTTGTATAATACACAAAATCCAATATACAAAAAACACGAACATAGACATGACTATATAACATTAAACTTATTAAACACCTACTTCCAAAAACCTCATAGATTTCCCACTATTTTAGAACAATCCTTAATTAGTTAATAGTAACATAATTCTCTTAACTACACAATAGTTGTGTAACGTTGCTTGTTAATTAATCAATTAGTACATGATAATATAAGTTTTAAACGAAACTTGATATTTTATGTATCAATAAAACTCGTGAACAAACAAAATCTCAGCATTTCTAACGTAAAATTAGCTCTCAATAGACTCAAAACTAAACAATTAAAGAAATGAAATTTAAAAAAAAGTAAGAGTTTCTTTAATGCTCGAAATGTTTATTGAATGTTGTAAGAAAGAATATTCCGATTGAATGTTGTGTCTTAACAAAAAAAAAGCTTAGTCGACAATTAGCAGATATCGAATGACGTATATTCAATAAGTAATTATTGTGTAATAGTGGATCCAATGCAATCGTAGACTCGTGTTTGTTATAATTGCATACTCGTGTCCTCCTTTTCGATTAAATCGTGGCAACCCCTGTACAAATCGTTAGCGCCGTCCGTATCTGGGGTATGGACAACGTGACTATGGTCACGCGCCGAACGCATTTAATCACAAGATGTGGTAACGGCGATTACAAGTAAATCAATCAAAGTAATTATCATCAAAAACAACATTTAGGCACAGAAATATTAATTTAATAAAGCTATAATTGTTCAATATGTATTATACAAAACTTATTTTCATTATGCAAAAGGTTTCAAAGCATTATTAATATGAGTATTATTGAAATACGATTGTTTTTTTAATGGGATTTGTGATTATTAGAGTGCTTCTAATCGTATTGGAATTGGATTGTTTCCTCTTCCATGTTGTCTTCTTGCAGATGACATACTTTACTGTACGTCTCTCAGGGACTAAGATAAGCGGTTTGTTTGTCATTAGAGAGATAAATGAATTACGTAATGTCGGTGATGCAAGGTTCTCGAACCGATCGTATTTCTTGTCTTTTAATTTGTTTTGTTGTTGTTGTTGTTTGGAGTGTGTGCAAGATGTGGCCCACGCTGTATATTCAAGTTTGTAAATGAAGCAGACGTTTGCATCACTTCAATATATAGTTGGATCTTTATGGCGAAACCTCTTTAAATTGCACCGTACGAAAGAACAGTTGCATCAGGTGCGGGGGTGGCATTGAGCAAACGATCTCGGAAGGTCCTCCAATCCGTTCGTTCGTGATAAGCAGCGTTTATGCAAACACAGAACAACAAGTTTCAGAGTTTGCAGAGCTTTTAATTACATAACGTTTAAGTGCTTCCATTACGCCGCTGATGAAAGGAAGCTTTTAGCATGTTCCATGGTAGTTGGCAATCATTTATGTTGCTCATGCTTTCGGAGCAATAATAATCGATGGTTTATAAGTTCTGAACATTTTCTTTCTAAATTTTATTTTCGGTATAAAAGTTGTGGTGTTTTTGGCCTCTCCTCCTCCTCCTTCTGGGTTATTACTTTTCCCAAGTTGGCGTCTGGCCAGAGCGGAATCGACGTCGTCTCACAAGGAGCTCCTCAGAGTGGAGACCAAATAAAAACAATGACCTGTTGAAAATTTTGTTAACCCCGTCGCCTTTTAAATCGAGATGCTTTTGTTGCCGCAGTGTTTGCTTTTTCACTAAATTTAGTTTCGTATGTTTTGTTTCTTCTTTTTGATAATCACGTGCTGTTTTCTGTATTTCTGAATTTCCGTTCTGTTTGCTTTTCCCCCCATGTTCCAGGTGCATCAAAAGTTTGTGTATCTGTGAGTGTTTGCGCGTCCGCCTCTCTCATCCACGTGCATTTTCCGTTGCCCGTGTCAACGACATAAGTCTGCTTCCCCCCAGACTTCTCCAGACGTAGCATGGTGAGTTCTTGTTCATTTACCCTCACTCCATCCACGTAGTCTTTACAACAACAGAATAAAACGTTTTCACGTTCGGTAACCAACTGAGCCCGAGTTCTCAAAACATGTGACCTTAGAGTATTCCCAAAAAAAAAATTACATCTGCTCTAGTGAAGATTTCAACAATATTTCTATCGATAATTATGGAATACTTTCACTTGCTAAATATCTTTCATGGCGAAGACCAAAGAAATAAATGCTCCAGTAATCTCATTTCATTGTTACAAGTGCCCAAAATAGAATGTGACTCAAATATAGTTATCAAAAGGTTATGACTAGTCAAGTGTAATTCAAGATGGAGGCCTAAATCTGCTCTTGTATTTTGGATTATCACTGCGATGATTATTTGAATGCATTTATAGTAACTTTCATGATTACTTATCAAATGTAGCACGCGATACTTGACAAGTATACAGCTTTAGAATAATTTATTTATACTTTGACACTTGTTTGTTCTTATTTGCCCCATGTCATTATTTTGTTTGCGTAATATTATTTTGGTAAAAGTAGGGTGGCGTAGGGCGCCAATCGATGGGCGGACACCGGTATGAGACAAAAATGGACCTGTCAGTTGTCAAATCAATGACGGTTGACGTATTGGGGAAAATGAATATTGCCGAGCGACCAATGCAAACGAATTTAACAAACAATTTTCAATTTATCGACGTATTTTTTTGTCCTCTGAACATTTCGCTGCAAATCTGTGATAAATTGGATGCATTTATCGATAATTAAGCATTATCATGATTGTCATGTGATATTTTCAAGGCTGTCCATTATAATACGACTAAATATTCCTATTCTAATTCAATACTTTTTTTTTTTAAATACTAACATTCGACAAAATGTCGATTACGTAATATCGACTGTATTATGATGTTTTCGTCTTAACTATCGACTACTTTATTGTGTCTATATGCATTGTGCAACTTTAGTGACAAGCAATAGCTTAACCATACATAAATTTACATCATAGGTGTTAATTACGAATAGTAAAAGTGGTTCGACCACAAAATGCAGTTGTGCTGCATACGTCATCTTGCTTACATTTAGGTTTGTCCGCTTTAAACGTGAAAGTAAATATTAAACTGACAATGGAAATACTTAAAAGTCTCTAAAGTCATTGAAACTTATTACTCAGCAATTACTTTTATTTCATACCGAGATAACAAAATTTCGTAAATTATTTGTTTCCTATATGCATGCACTCTGAATCATTGAATTGTACGTAATTTAATTATATTGTTGACACGTGTCAATTGTGTTTTATTTGATATTTCGAGTGAGTGTGTTCCTCGAACTTTGGTTTTCTTAACTCCATCAGATATTATGTTTTCTCATGCGCATTTCCTTTCGATTTATCTAACCGTTAAACAATGTTTACCACATGTTTGAAAACTCCGGGTTATCTATGGTTTCATATGTCGCTCGATTATTCGCTATCAATTTTTAATTATTTGACACGAGCAACGCTGGTTGCAATCATAATCCATATCGGATTAACTATATTTTCTTATTTGCTTGCATTTGTAATCCTCAATCTGCAAAGGCTTCTATTAGGTTAATGTTATCAACTTGTTCATATTAAATTGGTTTAGTATTTTATGTTAGGTGACTTCTGATTATTCTCTTCATGCACTTCAATTTGTAATTTGAGTTGGAAAGCAGTAATAAATAGGATTTGCGCTGGAATGGCAGCTTGTTTATTCCGCATTTCCAAAGGTTTTCTTTATGTCCTTTTCCATATGTATGAGAAAATCTCGATTACGTTTTTCAGCACAAAAGCGCCAACAATGGACCTCTTCTCTCTCTTTCTCTCCGTCCGATACACTCGTTTCTTCTTGCCCATTCGTGACTGAGCAAAATCCGAAAGGCGACAGATAATGGGAGTCCAGACAGCTCGGGATTTCGGACGGGACAATACGAAATCTCGCATTGCATTTTCCCATTCTTCTCCTCCTCTTCATCATCCTCCGGCGCTTTTCGCCATCGCGCGTAACCTTTAATCATCGCCCTCGAGGTTCTGTCGTAAAGTTTGTTTCTCCGGTTCGGGATCTCTCTTGTATGTATAATTTCGTTGCGTGCACGGACGGCCCGCTGTTGTATATGTATGTGTATGGGAACGCTCGGATTAAGGTCGTTACCACATAGGGGAGGCTGATGCCGTTGTTGGCGGGGGTGCCGCGAGGTACGGGACCCGCGCCAAGGTCGTCGACCCAAAAGACCCCACACCAGACTGCAGGCACGTGCACGGGACCTTTCCAGCACCCCTCGCATCCATTCTACCATACCGTACCTCCCATATGGACACGTAGATAGAATAAAAAAAACAACAACGAACTACCCCAGACCAGATTCATCCCATTTCCACTGTATTTTTCTAAATTTTATTCTCGAAAATTTCACATTTTTCACTTTTAACAATTGAAGATTTCCACAAGTCAAGATTTTAACAAGACGAGTTTTGAAAACGAGCTTTC